CATGGCTTCGGTATTTGCGTGCCGAGAAACGGGACAATGTGACCCAGCCACCACTCAAGACGAGGGACACAGTCAACTCTTGACTTGAGCACAAGCACACTTCACGACCTCCCTCTGTCAGCCGTCTAACCGCACTCCTGTGAGATCATGACGTGCTCCCCTGGATCTTCTTGTAATGTCTGCTTGGGGCTAAAGAATGTCTCAGGAACAGGGGTGTTCAGTGCAGCAGCGAGGCTGTGTCTTTGCATACCCGGATACCATACTTGAATGCCTGGGTTCAGTTCCAGCGTCCTGTTAATGTGCACCCTAGGAGGCTGCAGTGATGGCTCAGGCATCCGGGTTCTTGCCACGCACCTGAGTCCGGGCTGGGTTCCTGACACCTGCTACTAAAGGGCCTATTCTGGCCGTTCTTCGTATTTGAGGAGTGAGGCCCTGGATGGGAGCTCTCTGTGCTTCTCTCTCCTTCTCTCTCCCCTTTCAAATAAACACACAGAGTGTTCTTTCTGAAGACTATGGAACAACACCCACTGATGTCACAATTTGTAAGCCAAAGTACCCGAATGATGAAAGGAAGGTCTCGGTCCTGGGTTTTCAGCTTTCTGACAGTGAGCCACAAAGGCTATTTTTCTGAGCACACACAGGCCAAAGAGAGAGGAGAAAAGAGACCAGAATCCTTAACCACTAGAGGGGCTGGTGTTGGGGTACAGCAGAGTAAGCCCCAAATTTCTCATATGAGCATTGATCAAGTCCCAGCTGCTCCATCTGCAATCTAATTTCCTGCTAACGCTGCTGGGAAAGCATCAAGAGAGGGGCCAAGCACTTGGCCCCTGCACCCACATTTGAAATCTGGGAAAGGCTCCTAACTTTCGGTTTCTGCCTTCCCCGGCCCAAGCAGTCACTGCTATCTGGAGTGAACCAGCAGATGCAAGACCTCTTTTTCTTTTTCTCTGGCTTTCCCTCTGTCTGTGTAATTCTGCCTTTCAAATGAATAGAATAAAATCTTTTAAAATAGTAATAGCTCGAGAATCCATTTCTTCCTAGGCTACTTGGAATGCCCAATCAGAGTGCTTATTTTAAGTCCTGATCATTCCGCACTTACATTACAACTCGCTGCAAGTGCACCTGGAAGGCAGCGGATGATGGCCTTTGGCACCCACGTGCGAGGCCTGGATGCAGTTCCTGGCTCCTGCCTTTGGCCTGGCCCAGCCCAGCCTGTTGCAGATTCCTGTCTCACTGTCCCCGCCGCCACCGCCATTACCTCTTTGTCACTCTGCTTTTCAAATGAATAAACAAACATCTTTATAAAAGTAATATTCCTGGGCCATTATTGTGGCATACCAGGTAAAGCTGCCACCTGGGAGACCAATATTCCAGAAGGGGAGAGAGAGAGAGAGAGAGAGAGAGATTCATGCCCTGACTACTCCACTTCCAGTCCTGCTCTCTGCTAATGCATCTAGCAAAGCAGGGGAAGATGGCACAAACATGTCATTCCTTGTCACTCACAGGGAGACCAGGGTGAAGCTCCTGGCTTTGGCCTGATCCTGCAGTGGCCACTGCAGCCATCCAGGAAGTAAACCAGTGAATGGAAGATCTCCCTCTCTCTCTCCCTAGAATGTGAATATTCTACACAACTTGGCAGCCCTCACATGATGACCAAATGATAATATCTCTTCCTTTCTGTTTTTAATCATCCAAGGTCTTCCTCTCTTCACTAATTCATCGTGTATGTCTTGGGAATCAGACTTAGAGGTCCAATCTAAATTGAGTAACATCTCCTATAGTTGCCCCGATTTGGTGAATACAAAAACTGAAATTTCAGTTAAAACTACACCCAAGTTGAAGATGAATTAACTGAATTACAGTGCAAAAATCTTTTCAGAGCCTACTGCATTTTCTTCAGGAGTCTGAAAATTTCTTGGGTTCAGCAGTACAAGAAACAGGCCCATTTCCAGAAAGAGTCCTCCCTATGAAGTCACAAACTCCAGGATGACTTAGTGACAGGTGTCTCCTCTCACCATGAAGACATGCTTGGTTTACAAGTCACATTACAGGATGCATTTAAAGTTCTTAGGAGAAACAGGATCTTGGAGGAGGGCAAACAGAAGCATTTCCACCAGAGGGCACAATCCTCATTAGCAGTCATGAATGTGGGGTTCTATGAATCTTAAATAAGTCATTTTTTCTTGAAATCCTTTGTGATGGATAATGAAACTGTCTTTCCATGCTGCAGATAAAGAAACACTTCAGATTATTATGTGCCTGGCACAGTCTGAAACTTCGCAGTTATAATCTCATCAAGTTATTTCATATGATACACCATCCTCAGTCTACATATGGGGAAACTGAGTCACAACTGAACTTGACAACAGATCACATATCTAACGTATGGAGCGATGTCACTGATGATATCATAGGTCTAGAAATTGGAAAGATAACTGGTAAAAAGGATTAATTCTATGATCACATCATGTTACCTGGACGCCACGTTCACACATACGGGAATCCTTTCTTCTAAAGGTAAATCGCCCTGAAGTTCACTTATTGGTGATCTACATCCCACTGCAAAGTGCCAAAGCTCTGGATTTCACAAGCAGAGACAACGGGACTTGCTGGTTTACTTTGAAACAAACTGAGTCTGAATCGCAGGCTGTTTGAGATGAGATCTTCTGAGTCAATCATTATTGCCAGGACCAAACTGTGGCCAGAAAGCTTAGCCTGACCTGCAGAACTAATTCGCTATCCCCAATTAAATGTCTGCCTAGGATTTGCTATAAGCTATAACCACCTTCTTTTGTGACAGACAAATATCCAAATATTGTTGGAAAAACCCAAGAACACTGTCTTTAAAAATGTACTGCCCTCATGTTGAGAAATCTGAAAATCAGGGGCTTTTTACTCAGCTACAGCGTGTTTCACAAAATTTCGATTTTAACTTCTTTAGATTTACTCCACAAACACAAGTGGGTTCTGTGTGTGCACACGCACAAGCACAAACCCACACATGCCTTCAATATCAAATTTCCACCATCCCAGTTCCTTTTCATTTAATTAGTCCACTTCCTACTTATTGCGCAATTTTAAAAAATTAAGGGCGGCTCATAGATGAGCATGACTGAACATATTCACTGTAGTGCTGTGGGTACCAACAACACGCTAGGAACAATCTAACTAGCCATCAGAAAGGAACTGGTTAAAAGAAGTAATTATAACCCATCAATTTGCTGGACTGTTGGGCAATTTTTAACAAAGAATGAAGTAGCTGAGTATGTGTGGATACAGAAGTGAAAAATAGCACCACCGGTACAACACTGGGTAGACAATGCTAGTGTTTATGTAAGGAAACACACACCCACACCCCATCACACAGCAGGAAGCAAGCTGGGAGACAGAGGAAGACGGAGCTTCTGAAAACCCCCTTGAAGTGCTTGCATTTGGTTAGTCTAGCTGATAAAAAAAAAAATCTTTTTCCCCAAAAATAGTAAGGTTAAGGCTGAAATATTAGTAACTAGTGTTATGAAAGTTAAATGGTTAAGGAAGCTCCTGTAAGGCCATCAAATGTGGAGGTTCTTGATTTCCTGTACCAGCTCTCCCATAGCGGGTGAGTGTGTGGGAGGCGTCGGGTCCCGACTGCAGGCAGAAGCACCGGCGCCCTTTTCCTTGACCTGCTTTTTGGACAAGGAACAGCATGAAGGTCACCCCAGGGCAGCTGCTTTCAAGATAGGGAGTAGGCTCCAAGGTTTGGAACAGCAGACTAGGACTTCCTGGAAGAACTGACGCTTGAAGCGAACATTCTCGATTTGGCCAAGCCTCAGTGTCCAGAAACATTGCTGTCACTGTTACCCTGTCCATTCCTGAAAATCCACCAGGAGATCCTTTTCACATCCTAAACTGAACTGCTCCAAGGTACGGCAATGTGCAGGGTACTAACCTTCAATGGAAATGTTTGCGGAAACAGGCTCATCTTTTTTATAAAACCTTCAGTTGGCCCTCTGCTATTTGGGCCCTAGAAGGGCAAGGGACCGGCTGAGTAGCACAAAGCTAGCTGGCCGACTGTGCCAGTGCCCAAGACCCAGCCTTGTCGCTTGTGGCCAGTGGGCAGAATTCTAACTCCTTCAAAGTAAAGGCAGTAAGCAAAGACCACTGTCTTCTGAAAGTAGATTCTACCCCAGGGTGTGGAGACACGCCGCACATGGATCCTGCAATGGTTGCCTGGATTCTAAGGGTATGGTAGCCTGGGTTCACACACCGGCTCTGCTGCCCACAGCTGCTCACAACCTTGGCCAAGTCACCTCATCTACCACAAGGGGAATCTGTCACTTCCGCAGGGTATGCTGGCTGGAGGCCAGGAAGGGGGTGTCTGCCCCATTTTGTTCCGATCAAGACAAAAGGGCTAAGTTTTTCCTTGCTCGCCCTCTGTATTTCCGCCTTATTTCCAACTCAGGGAAAGAGGAGAGGAAGAGAGCGAGAGAGGAGGGAAATGGAGAGAATCGTGAGGAGAGGGGAGAAATAGGGAGAGACGAGCGGGGGGAGCGAGGGAGAGATGAGAAGAGAGAGATCTCCCATCCACTGACTGACTCCCCAAATGCCCGCCAACACCCCGTTGGGTAGCCAGGCTGAAGTTGAGAGCCAAGAACCCCAGTGTGGACTTCCCACGTGGGTGGCAGGGAACCAAGTACTTGGGTCATCATCTGTGGATTAACAGGGAGCTGAAATGCGGGGCTAAAGCTGGCACTTGAAATCAGGCACTCAACATGCGAAGCAGGCGTCCCTAGTGGCACCTTAAGCATGGCTCCAAACACACCTGGAAGTGACATTAAGAAGAAAAAAAAAAACTCCGGGGGAGAGAACTGGAATGAATGTCGAGCTGCTATGAAAACCCAAGCCCTAGGCAGCAGTGTGGTGACCCATGTTAAGCAGGCCAGGGAAAGAAGGTGAAGGGGACAGCCAGAGCTGCTCCAGGCCCTGGCTCCTCCCACTGGCAGACAACACCCGGGGCTTACCGAAGTTCGGCTGGGCCACTGCCATGGATCTCTGCGGAGGCACCGGGGTGGAAGAGACGGCAGCATGGACGTTCATGGGATTCAGGGGTTGATTCATCGCCTTCCTAGGGTCTTGCCAGGTGGTGATTTTTTCTATGTGACTGAAAGAAAGAAAACAATTTTAACTGCCGACGCCATCATTGTCACCATCGTCAAAACCAATACAACAGTTGAGTGACGCCAATTCTTGGCTTAGAATGCTTACAAATGGCTGACAATTGTGTCTGGTTTCTAAAACAGTAGTGACGGCAGGGGGAGGGGGTTGGCTCTGTGTCCTTTGTGGCACCGATAACACCAACATTTCATATGAACACCAGTTCAAATGGCTACTCCACTTTTCATCCAGCTCCCTGCTAATACAGCTTCCACTGCTTTCCCTGCTAATACAGCTGGGAAAGCAGTGGAAGACCGCCCAAATGTTTGGGACCCTATCATCCACTTGGGAGACATAGAAGGAATTCTAGAGTCCTGAATTTGGCCTGGCCAAACCCTGGTCATAGCTGCCATTTGGGGAGTCAGCCAGAGAATGAAGGAGCTCTCTTTCTCTGTCTCTTCCTCTCTTATTTTTTTAAAATTTTACTTCTTTTTATTATTATAATCTATTACCATAGATCGTGGGATTTCCCTTGTCCCCTCCCCAATTCCCTCCCCCCTCACTGAGTTCCCCTGTATTCGTTACTCTAGTATAGTTCTTCATACACAGTCATATGTCCACCATTGTGGGTATGGACAATGACAGAGAGTCCAGCATCCTATTGTCAAGAGATAGTAAACAGTTCCATTGGAAGTCCATCTTTGTCTGGAAGTAGAGATGCATACTGCATTGTATCCTCACATCTGGATATGATAGTCTCCATTACAGTTACTATACATCCCCTTAAGTGGAAAGCTACAATACAAAATCAACAACAGGAAGAAAAATAAGAAATTTACAATGCCATGAAGCTAAATAGCATGCTGCTAGATATGATAGTCTCCATTACACCATTACTATACATCCCCTTAAATGAGAAGCCACAAAACATAATCAACAACAGGAAGGGGGGGGGGAAAACTGATGTATCAGAAGTGAAGAATACAGTGGAGAGTCTCCAAACCAGAATAAAGGAAGCAGAAGAATCTCAAAATTAGAAGATATTTCTTCTTACCAGGGGGAAACAAACAAAAAGCTGGAAGCAGAGCTGGATCAGGCCAAAAAAAAAAAAGTATTCAAGAATTGAAAGGCACTATTAAAAGGCCAAATATAAAAGTTATGGGAGCCACAGAAGGTGCAGAAAGAGAAGCTGGGTTTACAAATGTATTTAATGAAATAATAAGGGAAAATTTCCCTAATCTAGACAAAGAATTGGGAAACAACATCCAGGAGGGGGACAGAACTCCCAACAGGCTTGATCAAAAGTGATCTTCACCACGACACATAATAATCAAGTTCTCCCTCTCTTAGAACTCTTTCAAACAAATAAATAATTCTTCTTTTCCGAATACATTTTTAAAAAGTGCATCCTTGGGACCTTTTTTGTGCTGGTCTTGGCTCCGGAAACCTCGTTCTAATGATTTTATTTGCCTCATTTTACTTCCCTTGTGTTTGATCACATTTAAATGCTGAAAATAAGGTGCGTATTTGAAAGAGAGGTAAAGAGACTTACTGTTGGGACACTTGCAATCCCAGGTTACTTCCACATTGCAGCTTCCCCGTATTGCACACCTGGAAGCTACCTCAAGAACTTGGGTTTCTACCAAGTCTGCTTCCCTGTATTGCGCCTGGCCCACATCTAGCCATTACAGGCATCATTCCAATTCCACATGAACCAGCAATGGGAATATCCCTCTGTACTCATCTTTCTCTGTCTCACTGCCTTTGAAACAATTAAAATTAATAAAAATAATGAAAACAATAAATGGTGCCAGGGTTCAAAGTCTTCTTCAGATTCCTCACTCTCAAACCGATTCTTGGTCTTGAATGAAAACGTGTATGTTTTCTCAGATATGTTTTTCCCCTTTTGAGTGGTTATCTTATTTACCTGAATGGCAGAGTAACACAGAGTGGGAAACAGATTTTCCATGCACTGGTTCACTGCCCACATGGCTACAGCAGCCTAAAGCTCCATTCAGGGATCCAGCACAGGAAGGAGGGGCTCAAGTTCTCGGACCATCAACTGCTGCCTTCCCGGCCCGTTAGCAAGCAGCCGGATTGGAAGCAGAGCAGTAAGGACTCACTTTGACCCTCTAATATGGGATGATAAGACTTAAGCCATCACCAATAGTGGCTTAACTCATTGCACAATTATGTTGGCCACCTAAGGAGACTTTGCAATGAATGTGACCTTAAAAATCAGCCAATAAAAAGGAAGCAGAGTTAACTATTGAGTTTCAAAACCAGTAGATGCTGGCAACAACCGTCCTTAAAATAAGCCCTGAAAATGAAAATGAACAAGCAAATCTGTTTTGTTAAGGGACCGGTACTGGATATTGTGGGTACGCCCCGCATCTGCAATACCTGTATACCAAATAGACACCGGTTCACGTCCCAGCTGTACCCCACTTTGTATGTGGGTCCCTGCTGATACACTGGGAAAGGTCTGAGTGTTTGGGGCCCTGCCACCCATGTGGGAGATCTGGATGAAGCTTCCGGCTTCTGGCTTCATCGAGGTTCAGCCCTGGCCACTGTGGCCATGTGGAGAAGAAACCGGTGGATCGAAGACATCTTTCTCTTTCTCTCTGTAATCCTGACTTTAAAATAAAGAAACGTTTTTGTAAGAAATAAAGCATCAAAATTCAGAGAGAAAAAGATTAAACTACAAAGATCCTTTCCTTAAGCATTAAAACAAAAAAGAAGTGAAAAGGATAAACAATGGTTCCAGTTTCAGCATATCCATGGTAATTCTATTTACCGCTTTCAGAAAATCCATTTGCCAGCTTTTGGTCCTGATGGGAAGCGTGTGTGTGGGTGAGGTGGGGGGTGTGGGGGGTGGGGACAAGCGGCAGGTTCCTAGCCAGCCTCAGGAGGTTTGTTCCTCTCTCAGTGAAGTCAGAGGTAAGCAAACTCCCTTCAGGCCAGTAATTACTAGCTCAGAAACGCTTTGATTCATCCTTCAGGACTCATTCTATTAAAAGATGTTTTCCAAGGCAGGCAAGTCCTACGCAACCGCTTTCCATTATAGCAGAAGAAAAAGGAGAATCCTTCTGCAGAACACACAGAGGGACCCTGCTGTGATGGGAGGAGGAATCAAGGAGCTGGCCTGGTGCACCTCCCCGACCCAGTCTTCCTTGCCAGCCTAAACAAGTGGGCTGTGACTTCTGAATGAGGAGGTGCAAGGAATCCAGGGCAGAAAGCCCCTAAGGAGTGCCATCTTGCCTGCCAGCTAGAGCCTGCAGGGCAGAGGGGGTGAGGCCTAATAGGTCAGACCCCCAAGGATGAGCATCTCACTCCAAGACTTTTCGCCAATGCCCAGGGAGGAGGCCCTGGAGCCTTCACTACTGGCCCTTCAAACTCCACACTCAGACAACACTTTTAAGGAAGTTCTGTTCCCGGCAGATCTGTTCATGAAAAGTAGCATTCTTTGTGGTCCTCTTAAAACAACAGGAAGCCTCTCTGAAGTGGGTGGCTTTCACTGGCTCCGGGCAGGCTCTTCTGTCCCCAGCTCCTCTGCAGAGCAGTCTCCCAGGACCAGCTCTATCTTAAGGCTCAGCTTAGAGGAACAATGTCCATAGTAGCTCCAGGCCTGCAGGCAAAACAACGCAATGGGAAGAGCAGTGCTGGCCAGAGGCGTATGACACCACGCTGGTGCTCTAAGTCTAGTACTTATTCAGCATCTCTAACTACTGCTCTCGACCCCAACCCAGGAGTTGCCATTCACTCTTTCATCCTGCTGTCTCATCCTTGTTCTTTCTCTCAGTGCTACTGAGTCATTTCCTTTCTCATATTTCTCAGTGGAACCTTACTGTCTGCCAGGACCCACAATTTAGCCAGATTAATCCCTCCTGCCTACGACTCCCACCTCCTTCCTGGCTCCACTCCCTTACAGAGTCTATTTCAGAAAAGGAAAGAAAAAAAGACCTCTCTGCTGCTCGAAAACTACAACTGCCCTTGGAAATCAACACACACTGATATTTTCCATGTACTTATAGTGTAGGTGCGGATTCTACAAACCCTTGCTTTTGGGATGCATTGTGGCACAGTCTAAATCAGAGTGCTGCTCCTCCACTTGCGATACAGCTTTCTGCTGGTGCTCCCGGGAGAGGGCGGACAATGGTCCACACCACCCTGTGGGAGACACGCAACAGAGTTCAGCAGTCAGTCTGGCCCCGACACAGCTGCTGCCCGCATTTGGAAAGTGAAGTAGCAGATGGCAGAACTCCTGTCTCTGTCTAATTTTCAAGCAGATGATCAAAATATCTATACAGTTTTGAAAATGAAACAAAGGGAAAAAAATGGCTTTTGGTGATTGAAGCAAATAACAGGCTAACTAATATTTTTTTTTTCCCCTGTCTAAACTTCTTCTAGCAGTAACTATGGGTTGTTTTCTAAACTAGTAAAACCAGAAACATTCAAGAAGGCTCAAAGGAAACATTCAAAAAAGCTCAAAAGGAAAACTGAGGCATGGCCATGCAGGTCAGGGCATAGGTTGTTGAAGATCTGCGTGTGGCTGTGTAAGAAGTGGAACAGACTCAACTACCCCTTTTGTCTATCCCTTCTCTTCACCTCTAGCCTCACATCCCAAGGATATCTGGGACCAAGTCACCCTGGGTCCTTGGTCCCCACTGTCCATGACATAAAGTGTCATTCACACTGACAGTAACCAGACCCCATGGGCTCTGGACCACAACCTCAGAGTCACATCTACCTGGGTAACTGGGAGGGACTAAGACTAGCTTTGACCTTGTATGACTTATTTGGACATGGCATTTAACCCAACCTAGTCTCCTATCCCTGAGACATGGGTTAAAAAGAAAAAAAGCTAACAGATGCATCAAGTTTCTGTTCTGCAACTCTTCCAACTGCCACAGTCACTTAAGATTTAAGACCAGTCCACAGGTCTCCCAACCTCACCTAGCAGCGAATGTATGGAAGGCAGCTCTGGCTTCTAGCCCACAGCTGGCA